GCGTAACTACCTATTTTTTGAAGAAGTGACTCTGGATCCTTGTAAAGACACATTTTTGGGGTAAAAACCTTTCCTTTAATGAAATGAAGTTTAGAACTAGGCTTTCAAATGGTACCAATGTTGGTGGAAAGTGGGGATGCATACGTTTGATAAGTGCTTGTCGCGGGAGGTGCGATTTATTTGATGCCGAGTGTAGTCACAATATTAGATATTTTCATTATTTTACAGGTGTTCAGAGAAGTAAAAGTGAAAGGATTCGACGCATCGCAGTATGAGGCTAAACAAGTGTTCTACTCAAGTAAAGATGGCACTAAGGTGCCAATGTTTATCGTTTCCAAAAAGGTGAGTGAAATTCACAAATACCATACCTAAATCTTTAAAAAAAACCACTATGATGATGGTAAAAAAATTAAAGATCCTTGCAACAGAACAGCATATTTTGAACTCGGTTAATTGAATTTTTTTTCCCATAGTCGTTCCAGTAGAACGATTATGTAGGACCAGCAAATCACCTTTTTTTCCGTTAACACGTAATAAGAATATTCATGTAAGATTTGAGTCCAATTGGGGCATTGATAACCACAGTTGGTTTCATCGTGGGCTAAGGAAAAACAAAATATTGGTGGTAGGGCAAGCTATATTTGGTACGTATATAAGTGCCCTGGAAACGGTCTATGTATTGAATAAAATATTTGAATTTTGAATTTAAGATTTTTTTGCGTACTATAGGCAACAGTGTTAACTGCCCATTGCCAGTCATGTCATCTCTTTCTATCGCAAAGAATCACCCATTGATAAGAGCGAGAGCAAAAACGGAAATGGATAGTTAACAGTGCGGCCGTGTGTACATCTAGTAATACGCGAGTATTGCTTGCTTGACGTCTCGACTTTGTCGCTAAAGCCACAAGTTAACACTAAGCTGTTAGCACAGACATTCGTGTTCTACTTAATGAATGTTGCAGTTTAAAACAAGAACCGCCGTAGAATATAAATGTATTGTTTCCAGGACTTACCGCGCGACGGGTCGAACCCAGCCCTGGTGTACGGCTACGGCGGCTTCAACATCAACATCCAGCCGAGCTTCAGCGTCACGCGCCTCGTGTTCATGCAGCACCTGCGCGGCCTCGTCGCCATCCCCAACATTCGAGGCGGCGGGTGAGTCTACAGGCATTAGTGCCCTTTTCCTGTGATGCTGATTTGGGCACTCGTACGGATCTGATCCGCGTGCCGAAATCGGTATCACAGGAAAAACGCACTTACGTCAACTTTGCCACCACATCAACCTTGTAGCTTATGGCTCAGTCGTCTTTATCTGCATACATCATAACCTTGTAACTTATGGCCCATTCGCCTTTACCTGCCATCAAGGTAACCATGTAATTTATGGCTATAGCCTCTATCTGCAAAACGTCATCCTTGTTAATTAAGGCTCATTCTCATTAATCGATAACTGTGTCGATATATCGACCACTAAAATTCTTAGTCGAAATAAAGCGTACAAGAGCTCACAGACAAAGCGAAGAATATTGTGACCGTTTTCAATGGACTATTGAAAATTGTTCCCCGTTTGCGGATCCTGAAAAACTTTAATCAATGTAACCGCGTGAAGGCTGCATAAATTGGTGGAACTTCAAAAGGATGGCCCTATAGTTACAGAGTATTTGTTTTCATCGTGCGATGACCGCGTTATTTTGAAGCTAGCGAATTCGTCTCAAATAAAATTTCTTTACGCCTATTTCATCAGCGAACAGAAACTTGACTAATAACCAATATTTCTTCCAGCGAATACGGCGAGCGGTGGCACAACGCAGGCCGTTTACTCAACAAGCAGAACGTGTTCGACGACTTCCAAGCGGCCGCGGAGTATCTAGTCCGCGAGAAGTACTCACGGCCCGAGCTGTTAACTATACAGGGCGGATCCAACGGAGGGCTGCTAGTCGCCGCCTGCATCAACCAGCGGCCCGACCTCTACGGCGCTGCCATTGTGCAAGTGGGGTCAGTGATCTAGCAATCTACTACACAGAACTTCTAGCATTAGAGTCGTTGTTAAAGGCCTCCGCTAAAACTCGCGCGGGTGCATGGAGCGGGCAGGCCGCCTGCTCAATAAGCTGAACGTGTTCGACGACGTGACCTAGAAGGAATGTGTTCGACGACTTCCAAGCGGGCGCCGAGTATCTAAAGTCCGGTCGCCGAGCAGATAGAATTTCGTCCAATGACCGCAAGCTACCCATCCTTATCGCTTGCGCGTAATTATATTGCTGTCGCGACTGTGCGATGGGCGGCCTCAGTGAGTGTCCGAGCGCAACAGAAATAGCGCTAAAGATATAGCTTGAGGTCATTGGAAGAAATTCTGTGTTCGTTGACCGGACTTTAACCCTCGAGAAGTACTCGCGGCCCGAGCTGTTGACCATACAGGGCGGCTCTAACGGCGGGCTGCTAGTCTCTGCCTGCATCAACCAGCGGCCCGACCTCTACGGCGCTGCTATCGTGCAAGTGGGGTCAGTGATCTTTGACAGCATATTCCACCCAGAAATTCGAACAATAGACCATTAAAGTTGTCAAAACTACAAATAATTATGATTTAACAAGGACGATGCTATCACATCCTCTATAAAAGTCAATTTTGAGCGAGTGAGAGGAGCAGATATGCCGCTAGATCCGCAGTTTTTTTTTTCTCTATAAATAAAGGTGCAAAAGATGAAAAGGGGCAGATTTATTGTCACGGCGACAAAGATCCCTGCACGCCTAGTCTAATTATACAGTCGCAAGCATTAAAACGTATAACCTACGTAATAGACTAAGAGCTAGTGAACGCCAGACCTACGTTATTTTATAAAGGCTGAAAGTTTGTCAGCGCATGCTCCCAACATAGCTAAGAACCATGGCCAAACATGAAGTTTGGGTCATGGTGGCTTTGGCAGATAGACGGTACTAAAGGTGTGTAAATTACCAACTTAATTACGTCAAAGTATAAAGGCTGATTTTTTGATATTTCCTTCAAAATGTTATTAGAAATGACGTCATTAATTGACAGACACCTACCATGGTGGCAGCCCTTAGCCAGACGCCTTAAAGTTCATGAAAATGTAGTCCTACTTACGTCATACTATAAAGGCTGATATTTACGTAAAATATTTGAACTATCATTTGACGAAGTTTCCTCATCAGCCAGACACTTCTGATGGTTCCTTCGCCTTACCAGACAGCTTTTAGGGTGGCTGAAAGTGCGAACGCGAGGCACTGTAATTATTGTATTTTGTACTTTTTCTTATGTTACTCAAGTATTTGAGTCTGTAAATCATCATCTCATGTTGATGAGCTGATGATGGAAGGTAAGTACAACTCCTTAAGGCTTAGGTAATCCCGTATTTTAAAGTGATTACCTCTGAAAGTTGCCTAGAGTAAAGTTCTTAGCAACATTATCATTACCTATGTTAATGCTAATGTTGCTAAGAACTTTACTCTAGGCGTTTAGCAACTATTTTACTTTGATCAAACCAAAAATCGTTGAAAGAGTTAATTAGCATGCATCACCTCTATTTTTTTTAGAATTTTATACCCCGTAGTTATAAAAATAGAGGGGGGGGGACATACTTTTTACGACTTTGAGAGCTGATATCTCAAAAACCGTTCACTTTAAGAAAAATGTTTTTTAGAAAACTTTATATCATTTTAAAAGACCTTTCCATTGATACCCCACACGGGTATGTACATCGAAAAAAAAATTTTCATCCCTCAGTTACATGTATGGGGGGCCCCACCCCCAATTCTTTTTTTTACTATTTAGTGTCATAATTTTGTAGCGGTTCATACAACACATATTCCCATCAAATTTCATCACTGTAGTACTTATAGTTTCCGAGTAAATCGGCTGTGACAGACGGACAGACGGACAGACGGACAGACGGACAGACGGACAGACGGACATGACGAAACTATAAGGGTTCCGTTTTTGCCATTTTGGCTACGGAACCCTAAAAAGTACAAAAAACAACATTTATAGTGCCTCGCGTTCGCAATTTCAGCCACCCTAAAAGCTGTCTGGTAAAGCGAAGGAACCATCAGAAGTGTCTGGCTGATGAGGAAACTTCGTCAAATGATAGATCAAATATTTTATGTAAATATCAGCCTTTATAGTATGACGTAAGTATGACTACATTTTCATGAACTTTAAGGTGTCTGGCTAAGGACTGCCACCATGGTAGGTGTCTGTCAATTAATGACGTCATTTCTAATAACATTTTGAAGGAAATATCAAAAAGTCAGCCTTTATACTTTGACGTAATTAAGTTGGTATTTTACACACCTTTAGTACCGTCTGTCTGCCAAAGCCACCATGACCCAAACTTCATGTTTGGCCATGGTTCTTAGCTATGTTGGGAGCATGCGCTGACAAACTTTCAGCCTTTATAAAATAACGTAGGTCTGGCGTTCACTAGCTCTTAGTCTATAAATTATTACTCCGATATGACAATTTTGGTTTGTTGCGGCTTCGGCTCTTAAATGGCTGAACTGATTTGGATGATGTGCATGTGGACTAAGGAATCGCACTGATGTTTTATTTTGATTAATATATAAATATATTTTTATTTATCAGAACATGTGTGACAATACAGAAATATATTTTTGGTAGTAGGTTTTGAGAATAAGAATGTCTTTATTCAGCATAATTATCATTTAAGGTATACAAAGCAAGAGTACGCGTATTAATGGACACTTATTTATTATATCTATTCGCAGCGTGCTGGACATGCTGCGCTTCCAGAAGTTCACGATCGGGCACGCGTGGGTGTCGGACTACGGCAGCTCTGACAACGAGACGCATTTCCACAACCTGCTCAAGTACTCGCCGCTGCACAACATACACCCGCCCGATGACGGTAAGCGATGATGCGATTACTTTTATTTTCAACATTTATAAGCTGCAAAAACTAGAACTATCGTGTCTTATACTGTATACCAGGGATGGCGAACCGATGGCACGCGCCACAATATTTAGGGCACGCCCACCTATCACAAAATTCACTATAAAATAATGTGTTTTATATAAGGGCTATCGTATTTGCCCTCATCAGTTAGTGCCACTGTAGAGTAAGGTCCTGTTACTCGCCAGTGGCGCCACTTATACTATACCCCTCATGATAGCATTAGGTGATATTTGATGGCACGTCTAAGACTATATCAAAGATTTTTTTCGGAAAAAGGGCACGTTGATACATAAAGGTTCGCCATCCCTGCTGTATACAAACCACAGCAATGAAATTAGACCTGCGCAGCTGTAAAATTTCTGTGTTTTAGGGATAACTTTGAAATCATTAGTTTTTTAATTTATTTATAAATAAATAAATAACTTTTCGTTTATCATTAGTTAGTCAATTTAGATCCAAATTGATGACGTCATAGCCTTTCCTATGCCATAATAAAAGTTGCAAACTTTTTGCGAGACATGTCAATTGATATTAGAAGTGTCAACTGTCCTATTGGTATGAATATAGATGACCTACACTGAGCTGTCCCGCCACTCATTGATAGGGGGGCGCCACCATCATTCAACATGGTTTCAAACACAGCAAAAATCAGAACCAGAGATCTGGTATTGACGGTGGCGCCCCCTGTCAATGTCACGGGTGGGACAGTTCAATGTATTGGGTCTATGGCTACCTATTTAAGTAAACTCCGACAAACTTTACTTCGACATTACGTTACTCCGACATTTCTGAATATCGACATGACTTTACTTCGACACTACACTACTCCGACAAAGGATATTCGCCTTTTTTCTAAGTAGTGTAGTGTCGAAGTAAAGTCATGTCGATATTCAGTAGTGTCGGAGTAACGTAATGTCGAAGTAACGTTTGTCGGAGTTCAGTTTTTGAGCCTCGGTTTTTTTACATTTTATCTCTGTCCCCAGAGCACAGCGAGTACCCCGCAACCCTGGTACTAACAGCGGACCACGACGACCGCGTGGTGCCGCTTCACTCGCTGAAGTTCATCGCGGCGCTGCAGCACACCGCCGGCGCCTCGGCCCGCCAGGCGCGCCCTCTGCTGGCGCGAGTTGACACCAAGGCGGGACACGGTGGAGGGAAGCCCACCGCTAAGATTGTGAGTATATCATACTTTAAATATGGTGCCGTTTCAATGAGGGCTATCGTTTTTATACGTAGCAGTTGGCACCCCTGGCGATTGACAGGACCTTACTCTACAGTGGTGCCATCTTGATGACTGCAAATGCGATAGTCCTCCTACTACTTAAGCACTCACCAGTTGGTGCCACTGTCTTCGCTACTAGCAAGTGACAGGACCTTACTTTACAGTGGCGCTAACTGGTGAGCGCTAAAACGATAGCCCTCATTCAATCCTCCTTCCACAAAGAAACGCTCATGTAAGTTGGCACCATTGGCAAGTGACAGAACGTTACTCTACAATGGCGCCATCATTGTCAATGCAATCGCTTTAGTCCTAACCAGTTGGCGCCACTGTCCTTGCGAGTAACGTGTGACAAGACCTTACTCTACAGGGTGTTAGGTAAATGGGTATATGAGCCGACTAGTGTTGCCGATCGATAGTCGAC